TATCCTTTCGAAAAATGACTAACCCTATCCTATCCCTAAAATTGTATTGAAATATGAACAGTGCCGCTGGTGGACGTAAATGGAACTATGTTTTGTAGTAAAAAGTCACTCGATTGCGGTACAAATTTGATACATTAGAAAATTAATGCTCAAGGTTGCCAATATTGGATCGATTAAAATTTCTTGAAATGAGGTCCTTAGTAGATTTGATTTAATTTGAGCATTACTTAAAAACGATAAAGGATCTATACTTCCTTCTGCACTGTGTTTTGACGGCTGTAACGACAGTGGGTTCGAATCCCGAACGGAGCAAGTCAAATACTTGTTCCGTTTCATTCCATTCCAGGTCTGGATGTTAGTCCTTGTGAAAGTTTTGTGTATCAACTGCCCCCAAGATATACAGGAGAAAATCCTAGTAACACGGTGACGGTTTAAAAATAATAATAATATTGCGTGTTTTTTATAAGGGTGACAAATGATCACCAGTCCACATGATGGTAAGTGGATGCTGTAGCCCATAGCTATATATACCTACATTTATCCTCGATTAAAATTCAAAAAGGCAGATGCGTTAACACCCCTGAGGACTGAGATAGAATTCCTTATAACTCATTATATGGAATATGGCATTATTATGCTTTTTTACGTTGGTATTCTGTGAGAGCGTGGTGCTTCCCCGGTCGAGGCGACCTATTTTTATTGCAACATAATATTGCTGCAGCGTGGCAGCGTACCATATAAAATCCAAACAAATTTTTTGGACAAAATCATTACAAAATTCTCCTAGCGTTTTCAATTTAGGTAAAATCGCGTGTGAACGTAAATAATTTAATCTTTAATCATGTTATATAAAATAAAATTTATTATTTTATTACGGGCTTTGTAATTCGGTAACTGTTGTGTAAAATCGATAATAATCATGATATCGTACTATAAATGCTCGATATCTCAGCAATTCTAAAGGCGTTTGAAGATTTTTGGCACAAAGAATGGCTGTCCTTAGAGCTTACATCGTGCTCCTTTTTACAGGTAAAAACATATTTTTTTCTTCTTTTTTTAAAAAGTATGTGTTTTTTTTTCATAGAATAAGAACGACAAAGGAACACACAGTCCACCTGATGGTAAGTAGTTTCTGTAGCCCATAGACATATACATCTATCCTCGATTAAGAATCAAAGAGCAGATGCGTTGTAATCCCTGGGAACTAAGATGGAATGCCTGGTAACGACCAGTACAAAGGGTCTCCGATTCTCTACACTCACCATACGAAACGCAGCAGCTTTAAGCCTGTATTTTACGCTGGTATTCTGTAAGAGCGTCCTACCCCGGTCGAGCCGACTCATTCGTGGTTATACCACGTAAAGATAAAACTGTTTTAATTGAACGAGAATTTTCGAATATTACGGATCATAGGATTAGTAAGCTGAGGTGGCAACGAGCCGGCCATGTACCTCAACGAACCGACAACTAATAAAGGAGAAAATTCCTCCAGTCTCGTACCGGTACGCGAAGTGTAGGGCGACCCTCCACTAGATGGACATTGACAAACATACATAGCAAAACATTTAGATTCATTCAAACACATTTGCTGGCGCGCTAGGCATTTGAGTTGTGCACTAATTTAATGTACTCCCGTCTTAGAATATTTCTTTTTCACTGTAATTCTACATGTTAAGAGAAATATGCAATCAACGGTAGCTCTGACATACAAACGTTTTCGGCACTTTGTCTTACACGTCTATGCAGTTGGATTGGTTTCGTACTCTGGTTCTATACTCGGATAGCCATCGTAGCCATACTGTACAAGCACTTCAGCACTTCGATGTACCGACAGTGCCGGTCCCGGTGCAACTTTAAAATACATTATGTATTAAAAATGTTAATTCGATAAATATACCGTAACTGATATTGTAAGTTCGTAATAGTAAATGATAAAATCTAATGAAATGGGGACCGTGCCGAAAAATTTTCTTTGTCATTATAACGAAATAAGACAATCCTACATTCACAACATAACATAAATAAATGATATTTGGTAAATATTATATATTATATAACGTTATACGCTAATAATATTTGAACGATTAGTCACTTTTGAGCACGGCCACCTTTAGAGTCTTAAATCTATTTTCATATAACATAACCGATTTTCGTAATTAAATTTATTGAGTGAGAGTATGAGTTATTTCTTTCAACAAGATTTGCCTTTTAAAAGATAAATCGAATCAAAAATAATCTACATTGCATGCCGGAGACATTGTAGATTGTGTCAAAAACCAAATACACGTTTCATTGTATCAAACAAAATAAAAATAAGAATAATAATATAAAATTAAAAATATTATACAGCCGACTTCAATATAAGTTATTAAGAATAACTCAAAAACTATTGGTCTGACCTTGATCAAATTCATATGGGACCACACGAGAATTGCCAGCTTTCAAATAAAAAAGAATCATTCAAATCGGTTCACCCGGTAAAAAGTTATGAGGTAAACATAAAAAAAAACAGTCGAATTGAGTACCGTCTCCTTTTTGGAAGTCGGCAGAAAAACAAATAAGCTCAGTTTTTAACCCATTCTAAAATGTGTCATGCAATTGGCTCGTGGAATAATGTTCACCACATCAGATTTAATGTAGGTTATTTTCAGTTCGATTTACCTTTTGTAATACAAATGCAGCAGACAAGAAAAAAGTATAATTCTTGTCTTAAATTTAGCTAAGAAACTTGAATTTAAGTTATCATACAAATAGTTATACTAATATCATGCAAATAATAATAATTAATAATAAAACAAAAGCTCCAAACACCATAATTCTGCTCCGCCAAAACTCACAATTATTTGGGTGTGGACGACAAATTAGTCTTTTGTTACCAATAAACTGGTTTCTGGAACGAATTTTTTTATCGGACGGCACTTACGGATTTGGCGGATAGAGGCTAGGCGACAAAAATGTAAGATTTTTCCGTCACGATCCTTTTTGACGTAGTGTAGACAGCCTTGGCGGCTATAAGGAAGCGATATGGAATAATATCCATGTCCCTCGCACTTTCTCTTATCTTTCAATAAATGAAATATTACTTTATTTTAAATGACGCTTCATTTTAATAGACGCTATTAATACATTTATTTCTAATTGTTAATCAATGATATGATACGTTTATCAATAATACGAGTAATATACTACGAAAAGAACTTCGTTCCAACCGAGTGTTCCACGACACTCACGCATGTTTTTTTTTACATAAACTGAAATGACAAACTAACTTACAGGCCACCTGATGGTAAATGGCTGCCACAGTCCATGGATACCAGCAGCCAATATCAAACAAAGAAGGCCACAGATGCGTTCTTCACTTCTCAGGACTAAGATGGAATACCTTACAGCTTGTAACTATACTGGTCCTCTATACCCTTCAAGAACAGGGGAGAAAGTACTGTTATTTTGTTGTGGAAATGGGTGAGAGGGTGATGATACCTATTCAGATGGTATTTTACGCAGGAAAGGGACTATCCAACAAAGGGTACCAACTATATGGATTACATCTTGTTCAAACGATAATCGACACAGTTTTCTCATTTTCAGGCGTTGCTTTGGCAAGCGAGAGCGGCCGCATTGTGGGTGGACAGCCGGCATTAATCGAAACCTACCCATCGCTTGTCCAAGTAGACTTCTACAACGTCTTCGGAGACATTTGGTCTCAGTCATGCGCTGCCAGTATTCTTACTTCTAGATACGTTCTTTCTGCAGCTCACTGCTTTGATGGATTGTGAGGAATATTAATATTTTTTATAAGAGTAATAATAATATCCTCCAGACCACATTTGGGTTACGGCGGCCAGTCTCGACGGAGACTAGCCATTTGCACATTATAGGATTATAGTGCACAAGTGTATGCGCAAACACAGGTGCACTTTCTATTCCCTCACTCTCATAGTCCGATGGGACGGCAAACCGACACGGCGGGAGAGAGATCAGGCGCAGGATCAACGGATGTACGTCCTTTCCGAGCCACGGGGGTAAAACACAGCCAACTTCCTGACTCCGGGCATCTACTGACAATTTCTTGACGGAATTTTTAACTAATTTTTTTGGCCTGACTCGGGATGCGAACCCAGGACCTCACGATCAACAGAGGTGTTTACGACTTCTACAGTAACGATGCAGTTAAATATTTTATAAGATTAAAGTAACTAACAGTTAACCTGATGGTAAATGACTCACACTCAGTCGTACTTCCAGGTAGAAGACGACCCATAAGTATCTAGTGCAAAATATTTCCTGTAAAGAAGCTACCGCTATCGCTTCAGCCTTTTAAAAAAGTTAACTGCTGAACCTAGCCTTCCCCACAGATCACTTAAAGTGGGTGATCAAGGGGGTATATTTGCCATAATTGCCATGTTGGGAAAGCAGGTTGGAGGCCGCAGTTTTTTATTTTCTAGTTTTTATTACAGGATAAGGGTGACAAACGAGCACACAGTCCACCTGATGGTAAGTGGTTGCCGCGGCCCATAGACATCTATATCTACCCTCTATTACAAATCAAAATGCAGATGCGTTGTCAGTTGTCACCCGTGAGAACTATGGAATGCCTCATTTCCAATAAAAAGGGTCTCCGGTTCTCTGCACTCACCATACGAAACACAGCAGCGTTAAGCTGCTATTTTACGCTGGCATTCTGTGAGAGAGTGGTCCTTCCCCGGTCGAGCCGACCCATTCGTGCTACAACTATACTAATAAAAACGCAGCATGGCTCTACCGCGTATAATTATCATCTCATATCAATTATCATATCTCTGTCGCCGTTTGTAACACTCACGGTGCGACATACCACTACACGCTACATTCGTGGCCTCTTATGACACGCAGGAAGTCAAATGAAGCAGGTTGCCAGCAGTGGACTTGTGAAGGGCTGTAAAGATTTTAATGATGACACCTAAAGGACAAAGCGGGGTGACGGCTTCTCGGTCAGAAAATATTCACATCATCATTTTCTAATGTTAAATTATGCTTTAATTGTTTCCAGCTTGTATTCACCAGTATGGCGACGCATCAGAGCTGGTTCCACCGATCGCAACTTAGGCGGTGTTCTAGCCTACGTTCTACTAAGAAACAATCACCCCAACTACCGAAAATTGGGTCAAGACAGCGATTTATCCGTGGTTATGCTACAGACACCCCTAATATACACACCAGTGATACAGCAGGGTAAAATCATCGCACAGGACGCGGTGGTACCAGATAACGTCCCAGTGGTGCATGCTGGTTGGGGCGCAACTTCGGTAAGATATTTTCAAACAATCTTATTATATATATCACGACTAAAGTCGTAGTACGATAAGAATTAGATGCTGGCAAAAAGAAAAATATGTTTGTTGAAAGAAAAACTGACATACTGCAGCCGGGACTAACGGTAACCATTACAGCCTAACAAAAGTTCATTGCTGAACATCGATATATATGTACTACGCACTAGATTTCGCATTCTGAAAATTGACTATGCTCAACTGAACTGTACTGCAATCCGTACACTAAACTAAATATTGCGTAAATTGAAGATTTGTGAATTCCATAAGATCATAATTATTATTAAATTATATTTAGAAATATGTTTGTTTAGATTAAAATAAGAGTGTTTTATATTAAATTCTTATATTTATTTTATATTAATATCTTATTTTATATTAAAGTCTTCGCGCGCTACTATCTCCCGTGCATGTGCGGAGACATAGATTAGCGCACAATTTTTGTTTGGAATAGGTTCTCTAGTACGTAGTACATATAACTCAATGTTGCTTATATAAACAATATAATTATATATATACAATATATTAATAATTCTCTAGTACGTAGTACATATAACTCAATGTTGCTTATATAAACAATATAATTATATATATACAATATATTAATAATTATAATCCTTACCCACATAGATTGCCCCATAAAGTGATATTTGCTATAGTTACAACATTTGTCAGACGGGTTGGCAAGCTCATTTTTTTATATAGTTTTTTTTTATTGAATAATGGTGACAAACGAGCACACAGTCCACCTGATGGTAAGTGGTTTCTGTGGCCCATAGATATCTACATCTATTTCCCATCACGAATCAAAATGCAGGTGCGTTGTCACCCGTGAGGACTAAGATATATTGCCTCGTTTCCAGTAAAAAAGGGTTGTCCGGTTCTCTACACTCACGATACGAAGCACAGCAGTTTTAAGCTGCTATTTTACGCTGGTATTTTGTGAGAGCGTGGTATTTTCCCGGTCGAGTCGACCCATTCGTGCTATATCTATACTACTAAAATAGCTGCGGCATGGCTCTACCACATAACACGTTGTTATTAGCAAGAAGCTGCTGCCTATCTCCTAGTTTGTTTCTCTCTTTCCTAATTCTATCTCCTAGTTTGTTTCTCTCTTTCCTACTGTCACATCTTATTACACCCACGGGAGGATATGGAATACTAGACACTACACGGTTAATTATAGTGCATATAAAATAATAATTTATACCGTATCTATTTTCATCAGCATTTTTGTAATGAAAGCATTCCTCTGATGGAAATATCGATTCTCACATTTTTTTTGCTCATAATAAACTCAAAAGTTGACTTTTGCGCTTGGTTGCCTTCTAAATAGCGTAATGCATCTAGTTGTAGCTAGTACGTTAACTTATCAGTGTTCTATATATTCAAGGCTAGTAAGTGTGTCCGGTAGCTTTCGAGTAACTTCGTCAAAAATTCTATTCAAACTTCGTCAAAAATATGAAAGCACCTATCACACTGACCTCTATCAGTGACCTAGCAAGTTACCTTAGCGTCAGTATGGTAAGTAGGTTAATAACTGTGACATCTGTTAAATTTGTCAAAAATGCAAAAGCACGTGTCAATTAATACCAGCGACAATAAATTAAGAATTAACCCAAGGGCATTGAGTTATATGTACTACGTACTAGAGAAGCTATTCCAAACAAAAATTGTGCGCTACTCTATGTCTTCACGCAAGCCCGAGAGATAGTGGATTGGCGCATGCGCGAAGACTAATTTCATATAGAATAAGATATTAATATAAAATAAATTCAAGAATTTAATATAAAATACTCTTATTTTAATATTGATCTTATTTGAATATAATAAGATTTGTGAATTCCACAAGATAATAATAATTATCTTGTGGAATTCACAAATCTTCAATTTTCGCAAAATTTAGTTTAGTGTACGGATTGCAGCACAGTTTACTTGAACATAGTTAATGTTTGGAATGCGAAATCTAGTGCGTAGTACATATATATCGATGCCCAAGGGCCATCCCAAAACCACAGATAATAATATCATTAATTAAATGGGTCTATCTTTCCTTTATTTATAAACAAACAACCCGTCCCGAGTTCGCCTGGATGGGATCTATTAATGTGGCATCATATAGATTTAAATTAATAATCAAGACCATTTATTTTATTAATTTTTCGATTTCACAAAAATACTCCAAGTTATAATGTAGCCTATATCACCTTTAACATTACTCTCTATCTGTTCTTGCAGTTTCATTATAACCGCTTGAGGTTTTCAAAAGATTAGCCAGAGCAGACAGGCAAACAGACATATAATTATGCCGATTACGGTGAATTCTACCAAGTTGGTCTATGTCCAACTGAGAACATTATATAGTCGCTTATCTAATATTTAACTAACCTTTCGCCAACAGCAAGGAGGCAGCGCATCTAACGTACTTCTTGACACCACTATCTACACAATAAATAACGCAGTCTGCGCCGAGCGTTACCGCACCCTTCCTCAACCCGCAATAGTCACAGAAAACATGATTTGCGCTGGCCTTCTGGACGTTGGAGGGCGCGACGCTTGTCAAGGTGACTCCGGTGGTCCCCTTTACTACGGTGACATCATCGTTGGTATCGTCTCCTGGGGTCATGGCTGCGCTAACGCCACCTTCCCTGGTGTCAGCACCGCAGTCGCTCCGTACACAGACTGGATTGTATCGATGACTTCTCTAATCGATTAATGTACAAGTATTTAAAGATCTAATAAAATGACAATTTTTATCTGGTTTTAATTGGAAATTGTTTTAATAATACGTTGTTATCTGTAAAAACAGCGACATTTATTGAAAATCTAATATTATCAAGTTACTGATTATAATGTGTAAAAAACCTGTACGTATCGTAAGAGTTCTTTTAGGTATGGTGATATAATTCATTTCATGTAATCCTTTTTAGAGAATTAATAATAAACAGTCCACAAAAAAATTAAGTAAAATTGAATTAAACGCGGAAACTTAGACATGGTCATACATACGTTGCGGAAAGCCGTCGGGTAATCTTGGCGGGTTATAGGTACCTAATACCGCCACTCGTTCAAAGATACTGTACTGTAGCCGTCGACCGCGAAAATTTGCCAAATTCAAAGCAAATTGTAGTAAACACGTGTATTTCCAAAAACAATAACATCGGACGGGTGTTATTTCAATCATTTTCTAGAGCTTCTTACATTATTATGTAGATGGCGCTTATTTTTCGTTCCTGCGTTAGCACCACAGGTTAGCACTTTGCATGATTTGATGTAAAAAATGATCATCGATCTTTTTTTAACACGGATGTGACAAACGAACTTACACAATACACATGATGGTAACTGGCTGCTGTAGTCCATGGACACCTGCAGCCATTTTCAAGCAAGGAAGGATACAAATGCATTCATCTGGGGACTAAGATTAAATGCCTCACATCCTGTAATGGCTGTCTATTAATTCCTTTAGACTGGAACACAGGAGTGCAGGAACTGTTATTTGGTGGTAGAAATAGGTAATTCATAGGTACGGTTTGACGGCTCCGTGGCGCAGTGGCTTAGCAATGAGTTGCTGCCCTGGGGGCCGCGGGTTCGAATCCAGCACTGAACAAGTATTTGTATGGCTTGCAAATAATTGCTCCGGGTCTGGATGTTTGTCCTTGTGCAATTTATGTTAGTAAACTGCGATACAGGAAAAAACGATACAGGAGTAAATCCTAGTATGGGGGTAACGTTTAAAAAAAAACAGAGAGACTCTTAAGAAGAATAAAAGGTTTACTGAATAAATCTAACATTTCTTTGGAAATAAATTTATTTGAAGAAATGTCCCGAAGATTTCAATGAACCAATTCCCATTGGCTTTACATAACCGAGTAGAGATTTCGTCTTGTTGAATAAGACTACCTACTATAGGAAATGACAAAAAGATCTCATAAAATACCCAGCGAGGTTATCCAAGACAACTTTCTACGATCGTCAACGCTAATAGAAAACTATAAAAATGAATGAAATCAATCGCTCGATCGATGAACAGATCGTAGAACGTCATCTTGGCTAAGATCAGCACCGAAGAGACCACTAAATTAGTTGAGCCAATCCATTAGAGTCACAACTATACCAGTATCAATAAACTCATTAATATTTTTATTTATCTTTATTACTTGCTTTATATTTCACTGATGGCATATTTATTATTAGGTCCTTCCTTACATATGAAGCGTTTAGCGTTTTGTCGTACTGACCACTTTGATCTGAAATATCTCGTCTTTGGTTAAGATATCCAAATTCAAATTTATAAATTCATTTAGCTTGTGAATTAGTGCATTTAGTGAATCGAACTTGCAAACACGCGTCGACTGCTGTGTTACTTTGCTCAACCGACACAATAATGAAAGGATTTTAAATCGAATCATTACTTGTGATGAAAAGTGGATATTGTAAGATAATCGCATTCGCTCGTCGCAATGGCTGAACCCTGGAGACCCAGCGAAATCCTGCCCTAAACGAAAATTGACTCAGAAAAAGTTACTTGTGAGTATTTGGTGGACTAGCGCCGGTGTCGTTCACTACAGCTTTTTAAAATCTGGCCAAACGATTACGGCAGATATCTATTGTCAGCAACTGCAAACCATGAAGGAAGAACTAGCTGCTAAACAACCGAGATTGGTCAATCGCTCTAGGCCACTGCTGCTTCACGACAACGCAAGACCACATACTGCACAACGAACAACCACTAAGTTAGAATTGGAATTTCTGCGACATCCACCGTACTTTCCGGACCTTGCTCCAACAGATTACCATTTTTTCCGGAATTTGGACAACTTCTTACAAGGAAAAAAATTCAACTTCGATGCAACAGTCCAAACCGCCTTCATAGAGTTTATTGTTTCTCGCCCCTAATGGTTTTTTTAGCAAATGGATCAATGAACTACCTATGAGGTGGCAAAAGTGCATAGATAATAACGGTGCATACTTTGATTAATTAAATATGTTTTACAAAAAAAAATTACTTTATATTCCTCCCGTACAAAACGCCAATTTCATATGTAAGGATCTATGAAATTGGCGTAAATATATATATATATAAAGTAATATTTCGGGATAAATTAAAATGTATTAGGTTTTATGTAAAAAAAGCATCACTGTTCTAAAACTAAAAAAAAATTGTTCTTCTTAATAACAACATTACGAAATATATAAAAAATAACTAACTATGGCACAATAAAAAAAATTCAGAACGTGCAATAAGCAAACTTAATTTAAGTAGGTACTTAGTAAGGCTGATCGGTTTCTATCTTGTTCGTCAGAACATTCGGTCTCGGTGTCGTGATCACTCACATCACTCACAATAAATTCGGCATCATCGTCGTCTGAAGGTGACTCAGGAAAAAAGTCTGTTGAATGAGCGCCACCAGTGTCATCTTCGCTCTGTGTGTCGTCTGCTTGAGGCCAATTATTTTGACTGCGCCTGGGGCAAAAACCTCTGCAATGTTTATTGATTGAATTTTCGACGTTTAGATAGCATGATTGAAGCCTAAAACCAAATAAAAACAGATAAATAAAAAAGTAACTAAATAATTTTTAACATAATACCATGAGTCCCCAGGACTCACACTCGATCAATACTCACTTCCCGTATATATTACTCTACTCTGTGATACTCACATTTGGAAATTACTGGGATAGGTACTACCTAAGGATCTTATTCAAAACCACCGTATTAATTTTAAGTATATTGTTGTTTTTATGTTACTCTAATTAAAACAATAAATATGTAGCTTTAGGCCGTCTTCTAGTTTTAAATATCATTAATCCATTTTCTATGAACTTATTAATATTTTTTTCAATTTTACATAATATTTAATTTTATCTACAATATTAAAAACTATGATAATAAAAAAAAAAACTAAAACTAGAAACGTAATTATCATATAGTCCTACTCCCCGCGGTATCGTGCCAAGAACGCTGGCTGCGTTTCCCCGCTGAATGGCTATACTTAGCCTTTGAGCGAGGAAAGAACCAGCGCTCTTATCACCAGCAGCAACGACCAGCCGTGGATGGAGTTCCTTTAGGAACTTCACCGCACGTGGACCCCACGGACCGATAGTCTCTACAGCAAATGGCACAAATATGTAGTCATCTGTCAGAGACTCATATTTGCGCCACTTACTCAGCTCAGCTGCCTCTGATGCCGCCCCGGCTTTAAACGAGGTACCCCTGAGATGAGAGGCCGCCAGAGTGTCTACGCAAGTAGCATCCCACACTAGGGCTTTACCTCTCTCCCAAGGGACCAATGTCATACCGTCGGGTCTCCTGCCATCGTCTCTAAATATTCCACAAGGCTCTAAAACCGAGGGAACATTTATAGAGGCGAGAGCCCTTCGGATGACATCGTTCAAAGAACTGTGTCGTGAAAACCTACCAGCGCTTTTCTTACATGAAAGGTTAAATTTATTATTATTTATTTAATTTTTTTCTTAAGTTTTTCTATTAACGTAATTGCAATCTAATTTCGAAAAAATCTTATTTTTTTATTTTTTTTGACTTTGCACTTTGTCATCCGTTCCCGTTCTCATATGACCGTTTTCTATTTCATGTAATAATAAATAATTTATTAAATACAATTTGGTCTTTTTTCGATTTTAAACATATATATTTTCTTTTAATTTTATACATTAATTTTGATTTCAAATATATATATTTTTTAATTTTATACACTAAAGTCAAAAACATAATGCATGAAATGAAGCATCTATTAATATTTGGACTGTATGGGCCTTAGCATAAGCTTAGCTTAATCTTAGTCCGATAGAACTATAAATTCAGAATCAATGCAAAATGCTGAGCATATACTCAGCTAAGTTTGTCGTAAGCTAAGTCTAAGCAAAGTCAAAGTACCTACGATCTATAGATCTCAGCCTACGAATGGCCTTCTGATTTGGGTTTTACTCTGACACGTTTTATGAACAAATCCGGCGAAATCCGGATGGGTAGCAGTCCTATATAATAGGTGTAACTTATTAAAAAGAATGGTGAGGCGAAAAGGCGAATTTTCTGTCTGTATTTATGTCATTACTTGGGTTTGTGGTTAATAAGATTTGTACATATATTCTAAATGGATACAGTGCCATCTATGATTTCGATTAAACACTTATTAGTAAGTTACAGGGTAAACTTATATCAATGTACGGATACAACGATATGTTCGCTCACACATTTATTGTAGTTCATAGTTGTTAATATAGATGGCGTTACTATTAAACCATGATTTAAAACAGATTTAGTAACTAATTAACGTGTTTTAAAAGACATTTATAAAGGATCATATTGTTTAAATTGTTAAAATAAGATCTGTTTAAATTATATCATTATATAATTACAGCACCCATGGTCATAGTGGGGGGGGGGGGCTGAGATGTTTGACGTCCCGATGTCATAGTTAGCCCGGCTACCTTCAGTTTTTGAATATTAATCAGACTCAGACTGCAGACTTCCCGGAACGTTGGTGCTTCAAGTCAGCTACATGTTCTTTTACGCGGGTTTTCGTAGATCTTTTTGTTTGTCCTATGTAAGAGAGACTATATTCACAATCTAGCTTGTACACTCCTGCATCTTGTGCATCTTATAGGGGGATATGACACTTGACGGATGGAAAATTGACTAATCTTCTTCGGCGACTTGAGCTATGTGTTAATGGAAGCTCGCTTCAAGATGTA